TGCAACTCCGTAGCACAGTTCCCTCATTACTAGCACAACCCCCTAGTGCGACCATTATTACAATAGAGTGTTGTTGCATTGCACTTACAATCTGGGCTATCACGCTTTTCCTCCTCTGTTTGCGCCGGGGGGGCTGGGGCCCGTCGCGCGGGCACCCCCGCTGTGGAGAATTGATTCCTCTACCGGAATTTGAGGCGGGGGTAACCCCCGTGCTCGAACCCCTCGCCAGGGATTTTTCTTTCCTCCGCGGAAACTCGACCCCTTGGTTTCCTGCGCGCGCCCCAGAAGTTCTTTCCTTCCGGATGGGCCCCCGCGGGTCCTTCGTCGGAGTCGCGGAGTGGATGCCGAAGGCTAAGTAAGGGATCGAAGGAGGACGTCATGCTAAACATGTTCCGCCAGAGGAGTTATATGCTGAGCGAGCTCGCAGTCCCCCTTGGGCCTGAGATGGTTGCATCCGAAGAGGTCGAGGATGATGTCAACCGGATGTCTAAAGCGCTTTGGCAGGCTCGTATCTGGGAAGCATGTTCGAGATGGAGTTCCCCGACCGAGTTGATCAGGGTTCCCTTCGGTGAAAGGTGAATGGTATTGGTTCGGCTTCACATCTGAGACAAAAAACCCATGGCCCCTTGCATCGGAAAGTTGATATACTTCATCCTGCGCCAGGCCCGCGCACGTTGCCGGCCTCCTGCAGTTTGGCTGCGAGCGGAGGCGGCGCGGAAAGGGGGGGGCGAACGAGAAGGCAGGGGTGGGCGGAGAGAGGATCGCCATGGTGGTATGTTATTTGGGGGAAGTTTTCCATCGCGGCGTCTTCATGAGGGCGCCCAAGAATGAAACCCCGAGCTGGGCCAACGGCGCGCTCAAACATCGCCGCCGAGAATCAGCAATCGTCGCGCGGTTGCGCTCAGCGCGGCGGACGCGCAGCCTCGGCGCCCGCCGCGTGAGAAGGTTTCACGACCCTGCAAACGCGTTCTATTCCATGTCCCTGCCGACGCTGCTGACGGCAGCGACCTCTGTTCTGGGCCCTGGCGATGCGCCGCGCATGCTTGGCCGCCTGAAGCACGCCCACTTCGTCTTCCACTGGGTGCCAGAGGGAGAGGTTTTCAGAAGGGGAGAGCGGCGCAGGCCTGGGGGCCCTGTCACGGCGCATTTGTTCGCAGCTGCGTGCGCACGTGGCTTCCATAACCATCTTGAACCGCGTGCCCCTAGGCTCGAAAGTGCGACGTCTCATTTGAATCAGCAGATGAAGCAGGCATGGTTTATCTTATGTGCGTGGGCGACTTAGCTGATGCCATGCAGGTTAGCTCTTATTCTGAGATGCCAGTGGAAAGACGTGCTCAGCATGCGAGAGCGGACGAATTTATCGGAGAGACGGGGTGGAAACGACATGTTGGAAATCAAGAGACATTATTTATTTGTTATGGATCGGGGGGCATCGAAACGAACGACTGCTCCTGAATCGCACTGGCCTGGAAGGCCGAGCGCTCGTGGCCGCCGGATATCTAGGTGTTCGAGCTCCCGCCAGAGTTGTCGCGGGTCCTGAGATTCAATTTCGTCTCGTGGCTGGGGGGGCCGCCTGGGAAAATTGCAACTTCCGGGCCTTCAAGACTCTTTTCAAGTGGAGAAAGAATTCCCATAAAGGACACCTTCTCAATTCTGCGTTGTAGAGGACTGAAGTGCTCACCTGCAGTCGTGGGCCCCTGCGAGAAGAGCAACACAGCTAGTCGCGAAGATTTCGCGCGATGCGCCCGCGCGATGCTTCGCCGCGTGGCAGCGACCAACGCCGCAGGGCAAACCGGTAGATCGTCGCATGTACAAGCGCTCGCCAAGTTAAAGATCCCGCCGGATTTGGGGGAGTTGAGAGCACGTCGGCTAAAGCGGCTCCAGGGTCTGGTAAGATACTTGAACGGCGCAGCTGCAGGCAGCTGTTTTCGGTGAAATTCGCGCGGGGGAAAAGTCCAGGAGGATTTCGCGACCGTCTCGACGCTTAACCTCAGCCCATGGCGCTGGCATTGGTTCCCAGGATATCCGAGCCCTCGATGTCTTCGGCGATGGGCCGCGCGCTTGAGAACTTGAGCCCTGCGCCACTGGAGATTCTTACGTAAGGAGGGGAGGGGGGATTTCCTCGAGCTCGATGTTCATGCACTGATATCGCACTAGTGGGCACCATCGGAGGACGAGCAGGAAGGAGCACACCGACACGGGAGACGGGGACTACAGATGCTGGGCCGTCTTGGAAGATGGCAGCAAGCGCGCGGCAGCTGCCCCACCAAGGCGCAGCGAAGCTCGCACTTTGCACGTGCACAAGGAGGTGATCATGGACCTCGTGTGTTTGCGCGAGTACGCTGTGTGTCTAGCCAATGCGTGCTGCGTGGCTGCGCGCGCAATGCCTCCTCGCAATCTCAAGCATGTGCATGATGCCCTAGATATTACATCTTACAAGGCAGATCTGGGACGAAGTGGGAGCCCTGTTCGTTTGCGCGTTCAAGGTTGCAGGCTCCGTCGGTTTGGCCACGATGGCCCTGTCGTTTCTCGTCGACATCTTCTGACGCATCTGGCGCCGCATCGAGGGCCGCGCGCGATTGGTTCTGAAGCCTCAGATGTTTCGGATGACTCAGGAAAGCACCTCGCCTCGGCCCGAGCAGGAAGAAACGAGGCGCCCGAGGCTCCAGAGAAGGCCGCGGACAAGCCTCCGGTTCAATTGGAGTCGCGCGTCCGCAGTCTAGAGCGCGGCAGCGCATCTCAAGTCCCCCCCCGAAGACCCACCCCCTGGTCTCGCAGAGCGCAGAGTTGCGCCAGCGACGCCGCGCAGTCGCTGCGCAGGGGAGGAAGAACCGCGCGAGAGGGCCGCCCGAACTGCATGTATTTTCAGGACTTCTGCCAGACGTCGATCCCCGGCTGAGCGAGGCCAACTTCTCGCCCGAGCTCGGGAAGTTCAGCGGAGTTGGAGCGCGACCAGCAGCCGCGCTGAAAAAGAAAAATAAAAAACTGGTCGGAGGTAGACGGCTCGGAGCGGATCAATACCTTCTCATTCAGCCCGACGTTCGACTCGACCCTCGTCCGCCTGGCGCTCGCTCTCAGAGGTCAGATGCTCGTCGCCCGCAATTTTCATCATAATCAGAAGCTCAACCAAGAGCAGGCCGTAGCGTGGGAGAAGGCGATGAAAGGAGACGATTCGCTCGAGGAGTACAGTCCGAGGGCGCCGTTCGAGATGCCGTTGAAAAGCATTGAATATAAGTTGATCGAAATGCATTTCATGTTCGGAGCGATTATGAGGGCATAGGGCGCACCTTAAAGAAATCCGATCGGGCCCCACGCGGCGGCTTAGAAAAATGACTCAGGTCGAAGTGGCCCTGGCCGTTGCGGTCCTGTTCCGTGCTCGGGTTTCGGCAATTTGTTCACGTGTTTTTGAGGTGTGTTGAAGCACTTCGTTGAATGATGCTGGGGTCTTGGTTGGTTGCACCCGCTGCCACCATGCGCCATGCGGGCGTCCTCGCCGAGGGAGGGTGCTCTTGTGGCGGCGATGGTTGCACTCAGCCGCGCGGGCGGGGCTTTCTCCGACCATGCCTGCTCCGAGCACTGGCTCGGCACGCGCGGCGGTGCCCTGCGCTCTTGAGAGTTCCAGGCGGCCTTGCGAAAGGCGAACCCCGAGTGGGACCTGGCTGCGTGGATCATCATGACTTGAAGGGGAGGCGAAGCCAAGCGAAGGAAAGGGCGAGGAGGGCGAGGAGGAGGAGCAGGAGGAGGAGGAGGAGGAGGAGGAGGAGGAGGAGGGAGGAGCTCCTCCTCCTCCTCCTCTCCCCTCCTCTCCTCCTCCCCCTCCGCCTCCTCCTCCTCCCCATCCCCCTCCTCTCCTCCTCCTCCTCCTCCTCCTCCTCTCCTCCTCCTCCTCCTCCTCCTCCTCCTGGGTCCTCGCCACCCGCGGACATGGCGGTCCCGGCGGCTCTACGGGGGCCTCCCGCGGTCTGGCCGTTCCGGGGTTTTGCTGCAGTTCCGGGCCGGCCGTTTGTTGAAGCATGCCCGAGGGGTGTGGCTCAGGCAAAAGCGGGCGGCGCCACGACGCACATGCCATTTCCGCCTCCGCGTGCCCGAGCGCGCGCTCTGCATGCTCTCCGTTTGGAGCAAACCCCAAGCAAAGTTGTTCAGCAAGGAGAAGCAGCAGCAACAGCAGCAACAGGAAGGAAGCAGACGGCGGAGGAGACGAACGCGCAGCGAAGTGGCAAGAGCCACCCGACCCTTTCCCCTTTAGTCGCGTGCGCGCCCGCATGAGGCAAGGAGCGGGGGAGGCAGAGAAAGACAGAGGAGGAAAAGCGGGTTCAGCCGGCCCGTCGGTCAACCATTCAGGGCTTCCGAGAGCGCGGCAGGGCGCGCCGCCCTGGCGACCACACCGAGGTGTTGTACGCCTCGACGTTGGCCCTCAGATCTTGCATGGCGGCGACCGAGCTCTGGCGCGCCGCCGAGAGCACGACCGCAACTCCAGCTGCTCAGGTGCGCAGGAGGTCCTGCGCCTCGCGCTGAGGCCAGCCCAGCATCTTCAGCGCGAGCGCGCACAGCGCCGCGCCAGAGTAGCGGCGGTGCTTGCGCTCCTCCGCCGCGGCCGCCGGTGCTCGCTTGCGCCAAGCCTCGCCCCGCCCAGCCGGCGCTGCGGCCCTGGCCTCCTGCTCCTCCTCCTCCTCCTCCTCCTCCTCCTCCACCTCCTTCTCCTCTCCTCTCCTCCTCCTCCTCCTCCTCTCCTCCTCCTCTCCTCCTCCTCCTACGCTCCCCTCCTCCTCTCCTCCTCCCTCCTCCTCGATCGACATACAGCACTGTGCCTCCTTCTCCTCCTTCTTCTGCTCCTGATTCCCCCCCCTCCTCCTCCCTCCTCCTCCTCCCTCCTCCTCCTCTCTCCTCCTCCTCCTCCTCCTCCTCTCCTCCTCCTCCTCCTCCTCCTCCTCCTCCTCCTCCTCCTCCTCCTCCTCCTCCTCCTCCTCCTCCTCCCTCTCCTCCTCCATACCTCGTGCGAGGCCGAGATCGACGACATAGAGCAACAGCATCGCAAGCAGCTGGAGGAGGAGGAGAACAAGCTCGAGTTGGATCGCCGCAGGATCCACGATCAGATGCAGGCGCCCATGCTTACTCGCGCTCTCCCTCTTTCTCTCCCCCTCTCTCTCTCTTGCTTTCTTTGTGTATCTCTCTCTCTCGCTTTCTCTCTCTCTCTCTCTCTGTTTATCTCTCTCTCTCTCTCTCTCTATTGCTGTCTCTCTCTCTCTCTCTCTTTATGTGCCCCTCTCTCACTCGTTCTCTATCTCTCTGTATAATTATCTCTTTCTCTATTCCCCTCCCTTTACATATATATACACACGCCACGTACATACCTTATATACATTATATGTGTGTATATAGGTGTATGCCTGTGTATATATATATATATATATATCAGAGTGAGGGACCGAACGTTCATTCTTTGTTCCCAGGCGCGTGGCTGAAGTTGGGATCCGTGGGGAGCATTATACTTGTTGTTGTTGTTGAACATTATTTATTCTAAAGAATAATTATTGTTGGGCCCCCTGGTGCGCGCCCCCCCTGCGCCGCCTAGGCCGCAGCTACATTTTCATCATTTTCGTGAGGAAGCCTCAGGTAAAACGATGTGATCCAGATCCGGTTGTTTTGTTGTAATCCGCTTTCCCTTGCAAAAAACACTATAAAATGACATTTCTTGTTCTAATATAATCAAATTTCAAGAATCCCTTGCAAAAAATAAGGTAAAGTGGACATTCGCGCGCGCAAGACGAAATCCTTCCAAAAGCTTAGTGTTCGGAAGCGATTTTAACATAAAAACATCAAAAAACCAATGGTTTTTCAACAAAAAAATGTCAAAATCTCATCCCGCGCGCTCTTGCGGATTCGTAGGAAACCCAACACTTTTTAAACATTTCTGTCAAACGGGCTTTTGCGAGCAACTTTTTCGAACTTCTGCGACAACGGTTGCGCACCTGCCAGGGCCATCATCCCTGTCAAATAATACCATGCGGGACACATTCGTTTTTTCTTCGCGCGCGCACGCCGTCGTCGTCGGCCGCGGGGCCCTGAATAGTAGCCACGGTCGTCCGCATGCCACGAAGTGAAGTGTCCGAACGTCATAGGGCGGGAAGCTGGGTGTGGGTGGTGGCGAAGAGTCGTTTGGAAATTTGGTAGAGCTTGAACCGGCCCCCCCACAAAGTGGGGGTATTGCCCGCCTCCTATGAAAACCCTGGCACTGGTGAGAACGGAGTGTCCCCACGTGCTAGTAATTGTTGTTGTTGTTGTTGTTGTTGTTGTCGTCGTCGTCGTCGTCCTCCTCCTCCCCCGACCCGCCCTGCGACCCACCCGACCCACACCCGCGACCCACCCCGCGACCCACCCGCGACCCACCCGCGACCCACCCGCGACCCACCCCGCGACCCACCCCGCGACCCACCCCGCGACCCACCCCGCGACCCAACCCGCGACCCACCCCGCGACCCACCCCGCGACCCACCTCGCGACCCACCCGCGACCCATACGCGACCCATGCGCGACTCACCCACGACCCATCCGCGACCCGGCCCGCGGCCCACCCGCGACCCACCCGCGACACGCCCGCAACCCACCCCGCGATCCACCCACATTGCTTTAACGAAGAAATCGGCGCCTGCAGCGGGCTCACTGCATAATTTATAAAAGTTAGGCGCCTGCGGCGGGCTTCTTCAGAGCCTCGCAGACTGCCGACGTCCTCGCGCCGCCCCCTCACTCTTATCCGCAACTGCGGGGTGCTACGTCTATAAAAAGGACCTTCGGCCAATCCCGCCACCGTGCCTGGGTTGCGGGTCAGAGTCCTGAGGGATGCTTCTTGGGGTCTCTTCGGAGCGCTCTCGGGGGCATCTTGGGGCCAGTTTTGGGGCCTCTTGGGAGTCTCTTGGGAGACTCGTGGAGACCTCTTGGGAGCCTCATGGGTGCCTCTTGGGGAGGACTCGGGATGTCCGCTCGGGTCCCCGTTCTCGGCCCCCTCCCTGGGGCCTCTTGGACCGTCGTGGGCGCCTCTTGGGCCGCCTTGGGGCCCTCTTGGGCTGTGTTGGGGCCCCCGTGGATGACTCTTGGGCCGTCTTGGGGCGATCCTGGGGGCCTCTTGGGCCGTCTTGGAGCGTCGGGAAGCCGAAAAGGCGAGCACACCAAAAACTTAGAGAACCTCGGCAAAATCAACGAATTCTGCCTGGGCCCTCTTGGGAAGCTTCTTGAAGGCCTCTTGGTGCGTCTTGGAGGCCTCTTGGGCCATCCTGAGGCCACCTTTGGCGTCTTGGGGCGATCTTTCGGCGACTCGGGGCCCTCCTCGGCCGTCTCGCAGCCATCTCGGGACCCTCCGGGCCCGTCGTGGAGCTCTTCCTGGGCCCGAGAGGGGCGAGGGCGCCGCACGCAGGCCGCGGAGGTCTGCGCGTGCGCGCCGAGGAGGAGGAGGAGGAGGAGGAGGAGGAGGAGGAGGAGGAGGAGGAGGAGGAGGAGGAGGAGGAGGAGGAGGACGAGGACGAGGACGAGGACGAGGACGAGGACGAGGAGGAGGAGGAGGAGCAGGAGGAGGAGGAGGAGGAGGGGGCGGCGCGCCGAGCCCGGAAGCTGCGAGGATTTGGGGGGCCCGGGCCCCGGAGAGGCTCCTCGGGACGGCGGGCGGAGGCCCAGAAGATGCGGCCCGGGGCCCGGGGACACGCCCACCCCGTGGCCAGGGGGCACGGTGGCAGACGTGTGCTGGCTCTCTGTCCCTCTCCCTCTCCCACTCTCGCTTCCCCGCCGCACACTCCTCGGTTCGAGGATCGGGGAGGGGGAGGAGGCTCGAGGAGGTTCGATGATCGAGAGGAAGAGGGTGGCTGAAGCTCGCAGAGGAGGGTCGGGGCGGAGGAAGAGGTTCGAAGAGGATCGAGCAGATGCAGGCCCCCCTGCTCTCGTTCTCTCTTTCGTTGGTTCTTTCTCTCTCGCTCTCTGTCCCTCTCTCCCACTCTGTAAGGTATAATTATGAATGTGTTTACAGTTGTGCATCGCATTTCTTCTCGCCCTCGTTCGGGCACAGCTCGGATCGAGCTTCGAGGGGGAGGAGAAAGAGGAGGAGGAGGAGGAGGAGGAGGAGGAGGCGGAGCAGTTGTTCCTCGTTTCCCGCTCTCCTTCGCGCACTTCTTGGATCGAGGGTCGACATTCGAGGATAGAGGTGTAAGGTGGAGGTGGAGGAGGAGGAGAGTTCGCGAATCGAGGTCCGAGGTTCGAGGGTCTAGGATCGAGGAGGAGTGGAAGGAGGTTGGAATTGGCTTTCGCCAGTTCTGGCCTCTCGAGGCCCGTTCAATGCCCCTGCCAGGGTGGATCCCAGGAGGGGTCCCGGCACCAATTTGGACTGGAGTTTGGGTCTGGAGGAGGTTCGAGGATCGAGGCTCGAGGAGGAGGATCGAGGTTTCCGCACGCCTCTGGCCTTTGGGCGGGGGACTCCAGAGGCCTCCACGGGCCTCGCCAGCTGATCCGAAGGAGTGTCTGCTCCAGTCCGCGGCCCCGGAGGTCTGGGCTTCTCCCCCAGGGCCAGCGTGTCGCCCCAGAGCCAGCTTCCACTGTCCCTTCTCGTCCTCCTCGTCCTCCTCCTCCTCCTCCTCCTCCTCCTCCTCCGCCTCCTCCTCCGCCTCCGCCTCCGCCTCCGCCTCCGCCTCCTCCTCCTCCTCCTCCACCTCCTCCTCCTCCTCCTCCTCCTCCGCCTCCTCCTCCTCCTCCCGACAAGGCGCCCCAGAGGCCGCCATCGAGGAGCCGCGTCAGGGCTGCGCAGCAGCACGACAGAGGCAGATCGTCGGAGGCCCAGGCTTCTCGGAGGGCTCCCCCGGGGACCCCGGGTCTCGGGAAGCCGTTTTTGCAGACCTCCCGGGGAGCCCCCCGGCGGTCCGAGGGAGAGGCTGAAGAGACCTCCCGAGGAGGCCCCCCCCCCGGCTGTCCTCTCCTCCTCCTCCTCCTCCTCCTCCTCCTCCTCCTCCTCCTCCCGAGGAGGCCCCCCCCCCGCTGTCCGAGAGAGACTGGACGAAAGGGGGGGATAGGGAAAGGGGGGGTTACGAAGTCTGCTGCATGCAGCTGGTTTCGGCCTCACCGAGGGGCCCATCCCTCGATACATGGGCGCCTCCCGGCGCCGGGAAAATCAGCTACGTGAGTTGATTTTCACCCCCCCCCTTTGCTATCCCCCCTTGTCGCCCAGCCCGAGAGGAGGAGGACCCCCCTGGCTGTCCGAGAGAGACCGCTGGAGGGCGTCCAGAATGCATCGCGCCGGAGCCGTTCCCAGATCTCCTCCGACAGGCTCTCCAGACCGCGGCGCTCTTTCTCGGACCATGCGGGCCACCCGCGCGCGCCGGCGGCGCACACATGTCGATCCAAAAACGGCATCAGCGACACGTGGACATCATCGTCGTCATCGGCATTACCAGCGTTGGCGGCGCCATTGTCTGCCGCCATCATCGCTACCATCGCCACCGCCGTCGCTACCATCATCCTCATTGCCACCATTGTCGCCGTCATCTCGATACCCCGCCTGGCCGAGCCGCCGACCCGCACTGAAGTGCCCGCGCGCCAGCGCGGCCTTCGACGCGCGCTGGGACGCTGCCATGGGCAGGCGCCATCGCAGCAGCATCGGCTGTGCCAAACCCGCTGGCCGCCCAGCGCGCGAGCCTGCGTGCGCCAGCGCGGCCGCAGAGACGCGCCGGCCATGGCCCAGCAGTCAGCACAGTCGCTGCTGCACGAGTTTTGCAAACCAAGGTGCGGGTGGGAGGGCGGGATGAATGCGCGAGCCGTGGAGCTGGCAACTCCAAGCTGCTTCATCATCATTTGCACCACATAGGTTGCGCCACCTACCTCAGATCGCGTAGCTCACGCCACATATATTGCACCACCTGCACTGCACCAGATGGAGGGGACCACATAGCGTGTATCACATAGCTTGCACCACGTATATTGCACCACGTTGGACGTTGGTCGTATCAAACAGCTTGCACCACGTATACTGCACCACATGGTCTGCCAGAACACTCTTTGGGGCCCTCGCTGGCTAACACGTGCAATGTGCAACTGTAGAGAGGAGAAATGGAGAGAGGAGAGAGGCAAG